AACGTGTTGCACAATCTGGAGCAAACAAGGTGCCCATCATAAAATCTGATTTACGTTTAACAGTCCTTCTCTGACAACTCAGTTACTCAGGTTGATAATAAACTAAGATAATATAGTGATTTAATCATAGATGCAATAAATCATGTAGCAGATAGATAAGATATTATTGAATTGCTATCCATTATATCATTCCCATACCTTTCGCTCTTGTCATACCATTTACCAGTTTATTAAATGTATAATAAATCATTCTCAACACCGGAGAAAACAGTAATATTTAATCGAGTGACAGGAGATATGTTTAGCCTTTCTAGAACACATTGTCACCACTTTCCAAATGGGCCAAGGTATGTTCAGCCTTTATAAAAAAAATTTGGTACCACTTTCTCATACATGGATTTTCTCATAAAGTTTGTGTGGGTGTGTGTGTGTGAGAGAGAGAGAGAGAGAGGGAGAGAGAGGGGTTTGAAGATGGCAGTGTAAGGAAGACATTTTTTGTACACCCAGCCAGATTCTAAATGAAATGGGGTTTAACATCCCACATGTCTTCACCGACTGGACTAATGTTCTATGGGTGAATTTTGCCAGAACAGCAGCACCACGGTCTATAATCTTATTTAGATTGTTATTTTATGTGCACAGGACATCGGTTTTCGTCTCGTCCGAACGACTTGACGCTGTCCTTGCCAAGCCACACGCCTAGCAGCACTGACAAGGGGAAACCATGCTGGAAAATCCCGTGGAACTTTCTCTGCCAACAAATGGATCGTACCCCGGATCTCATGGTTAGTGAGCTAGTTAGCGCCCTTACCCACTAGCTAATGCGGCTTACACCCAGTCCCGAGTTCACAAAGCATTCTCAGACTTAAGTTAAGAATTTACTCAACTTCCAATCACTGTTTATGAAAAATATCTTTGATCCAGAAACACAAACTTTGCACACAGTTTCTTATTGATGTATTTGATACATTAAACAGTGGTTCTCAACCTTTGAAAAAAAAGCGGCGCACCTGGCTAAATATGAAAAATATCTGAATTTTGCAAAATTAAAACAGGGCATGTCATAGACGGTATACAATCGTAGACACAGACTAATCAGAGAAACAGGATAAAAAAAAGAAATACACAGCTACGAACTTACCAGTCGACACCACTGAATACTCTATTGGGATTAAGTGGCTTTTCGCATTCTTAGTGTGCCGTTCAAAATTTCGCGGCACACTTAGGAAGATCTCGCGGCACACAGGTGTGCCGCGGCACACTGGTTGAGAATCACTGGATTAAAACAATAAAAGTTTTATAAAGGCTATATTTTTGTTAAAACAAGGCGAACAATTTTGAGTAAATTCTTAACTTTAAGTCTGAGAATGCTTTGTGAACTCGGCCCCCAGTTTCTAGCCATCATATTAAAACACCAAACTCCAAGTAAAACTATATAAACTTTAATTAACTGTTGAAATCACATGCATACAACATTGTCATAGTATATATTGATATAATAAGCAAAACCAACAGATTTTATTTCTGTTTAGAAACTATCATCATGTATCTATTAAAATATATGATTCCATAGACGTACGTACCTACAAATGACCAGAATATTTATCAATGACTTGATGAAAGTACACGACAACATGCCCAAATAAAAAGTGTACACAGGATTTGCTTTTTTTGCATTCTCAATACATATTGTGTAATAATAACAATAGTTTCATGGATGTTACAAAAGAAAGTTTAAAAAATAACAAATGGGGACATGTGCATTAAAATATAAGAGCCTTTTCAAGACAATTGCCAGTATCACTTGAAAATTTACCTTAGCAATATTGCACGTAATTACATTGAAATGAGCTTAGCCTAGTGTTCGTAATTACATTGAAATTTAGCTTAGCCTAGTGCCCGTAATTACATTGAAATTTAGCTTAGCCTAGTGTTCGTAATTACATTGAAATTTAGCTTAGCCTAGTGTTCGTAATTACATTGAAATGAGCTTAGCCTAGTGTTCGTAATTACATTGAAATGAGCTTAGCATTAGTTCTGGAAATTACATTATAAGTTAGTTTAGCATTAGTTCTCATAATTACAGTAAATTTAGCTTAGCACTAGTGTACGCAGTAACAATGAAATTTAGCTTAGCACTAGTGTACGCAGTAACAATGAAATTTAGCTTAGCACTAGTGTACGCAGTAACAATGAAATTTAGCTTAGCACTAGTGTTCGCAGTAACAATGAAATTTAGCTTAGCATTAGTTCTCGAAATTACATTAAAAAATACTTTTAGCACTAGTTGTAGGAATAACAGTGAATTTATCTTAGGTTCTCGTAGTTAGATTTAAATTTAGTTTAGAACTAGTTGTCCTGATTACATTAAAAGTTAATTTAGCTTAGCACTAGTTCTGGTCATTACATTAGAAGTTAGTTTAGCACTAGTTCTGGTCATTACATTAGAAGTTAGTTTAGCACTAGTTCTGGTCATTACATTAGAAGTTAGTTTAGCACTAGTTCTGGTCATTACATTAGAAGTTAGTTTAACAGTAATTCTTGAAATTACACGAAGATTAACACTAGTTCTTGTAATTATATTCAAACATATTTTAGCACTAGTTCTCATACTTACATTCAAATTTGTCGTGTTAATAATATATATATATAATATAAAGCTATAGTCAAATTGTTAAAATCATTTGTATGGTTTGCACACGCAGATTTTCAATTATTACTTTAGCTAAAGTCACAATTCTAAATTTTCTGTTTTAAAACTACATTATCTTTTCTCTGTATTAACCCTTAGCAATAGATTATTATCCCTATATTTTAAGGCTATATTATTATTTCTCTGTTTCAACACTCTATTATTATTTCTGTTTTAACACTATATTATCTTTTCTCTGTTTTAACACTATATTATTTTTTCTTTGTTTTAACACTACATTATCATTCTCTGTTTTAAAACTACATTATCTTTTATCTGTTTTAACACTATATTATCATTTCTCTGTTTTAACACTACATTATCATTTCTCTGTTTTAACACTACATTATAATCTCTATATTTTAACACTACATTATATTTTTCTGTTTTAACACTACATTTTGTTTTATGAATAATAATATATTACTAGATCTAGATGAATAGGCTGGTCGCTTGACGTTCACTAGATATGTTAGAATGGAATGATGTTGAAAGTTTGTCAACAAAATATGTCGGTCATTTTAAGACTAACATATAGCAATTTTCATTTCTATGCGTATGTGCGCAATGCAAGGGCGACAATTTTGCCCTGACAGTGTCGTTTCTGCCATTTGTTTTATGTGCATGCCAGTGTCTACATGGGTGGATCTCCATTTTCCATCCCACTTGAACAACTAGGCACACTTTTCTTGTCAGAAGATTCTTCTGGACCTAGGGTGGGATTCAAACCTAGCCCTGTTTCCATCTCGTGACCTTGACAAAATATGCAGATGGCCTTAATATTTAGATCTAACCATAGACTTACTACGGTTCCTTAGAGAACTAAAGTAAATCGATCAAAGGGTACAGTATCCTTGAAATACAGAGGTCAAACATAATGTTCTTTTTCTAATGATAAAATACATGCTGTTTAATATTTTAAACAAATCGTTACATCTAGATAATTATTTAACATTGTTCCAACTCATAACATTGAATACAATAAACTTTGTTTCATGCAAAAAGACCTCTCATTTGAAAAAGCAGGCTTACTGGGGGGTGGGGGGTAAATGGGATTCCAGCAACCTCAACTACCCCAGACGTATAACTTTCGGAGAGACATGTGGCTATTTATACTGCATCGTAAAGATAATGGTAACTTGTTAAACATTTTAATAACATCTGGGGTTTTCTGGGTTTGGAAATTCCTAAGCTTATATTTGAAAGAAAAAGACAAATTTTATTCAAAAGTGATTCAGTTACTAATGCGTGTTTGCAAGGTGTAGCATCTTATTTTCTATTTACATTTTGATAAAAAATATGATTTATTATCATTTCAAATAATAATAATTACAAATGAGCACCATTTCTTTTAATAATTCTCAATAATATCTGTAGGGTTTCATTATAATGGGTCTTCACACTACGTCAATGTTATAGCGAGACCCTTTTATAGGACTTCACTAATGTACAGATGTCGTGGTCATCAGACAACACAATCACTATAGGGAAACCCATACTTATATATAAAACACAAGGAGAGTCCACTATAATGCTGTTGAATCATATATTAACCATGGGCCTTATAAGGTCCATATATTAACCAACTTTCTGTAAAATTCAGAAACTAATTACAAGCCTGGAAATAATGCACCCGTCACAGACATTCTCAGGCAGAAATTCAGGCTTTGTCAGTTGAAATCCCTCTTGTATCATTTTGTTGAAATCCCTCTTGGGTCATTTTGTCGAAATCTCTTGTGTCATTTTGTCCGACACCGATTTGTCTATTTTTGTGTTTTTATTGATATTTTCAAAGATGCATTATGTAAAATTTAGACAAAGAGCTGGTCGTTCTTGCTATAGTAGTTTAAAAATAGATAATGAAAAAGGATTATATTGAAAATTTCAGTCAAATTACTTCATGCTGAGGGAAGTAATGACTGTTTGAAAAATAGCAAGGTCCCGATTTTGCATTGCTACCGTTGTTACATAATAGACAAAGTCTTGATTATCCATTTTTAAATAAAAGTATTAAATGCCGAGCTTGTTTCAATCAGTACAAAATCACAACCATCTGATGTTCTAGAGAGTTGATTATAGGTTTATCTAGTGAATTAATGTTTAATTAATAATTTATATAGCCTTTGAAGCCAGACGAAAGACCTGCAATAGGCAGATGTAGCTCTTGCATAATAATATGTTTAATACATGTTCTGTACAAAATTTAAAAGTATATACATGTTATCATTTTTATTTAAATTATCTCACCCTACACATAGCATACAGAATTTGTTAATTTAAAAAAGATTGCTAAAGCCATATAAAAAAAAAATATTCTAGTCTCAACGCATGACCCGTTTTTATTTTAAAAAATACAGGAAGTAGCTCTACCAAAAAATTAATTTGAATAAATCCTGAAATGTGGCAAAGGCTCATTTTTATCAAGTACACAACCCAGTTAAATGATACTGACAATCATAAATGATACTGAATAATCACACATTCCTGATAAGATGAATATAGTGCCTTGCGCGTTAAAATAAAAACTTCTCTCCCGCGTCAGATTTTATAGTAGGAATTGTCTGAGAACTAGAATATTTTTTTGTATTGCCTACGTGAATTCCCTGAAAAATTATTTAAAGGGGCATTTTGTAAGATTTAGATAAAGAGATGACTGTTCTCGCTATAATATTTCAAAAATAGATAATGCAAAATAAATAAATTCAAATTGCATTATTTTGAGCAAAGTTATCAATGGTTGTAGTGTTGTAGTGTATTGATTGTAACAACTCTACTGGTCATTTGAACCTTAGCCTCGCTTCTCCATTTTTAAATTAAATCAATAAATGGACGAACCGTTTTAGATCTACTTAAAATCGGAGCCATCCGATGGCATCGAGAGTTGATTATGGTCTTTTCATATTAATAAATATCTAATTAATAATTTATATAACATTTAAGGCCCAAAGGAAGACTTGCAATGGGAAGATTTAGCTCTTATATAATGTATCTTTAAGTAGATTACAGTTATAGAAGAATGGCAAGAAAATTCTAGAATAAATAATGATACAATGTGCAAAATAAGTAGCACCATTACTGACCAAAAATACAATAGGAAATCTGTTGAAATTTAAGATAAATCATTAAATATAATGCTATTCACCAGGGGCTTTCCACAGGCACCTGTAACATGGAGAATCACTTAAAACGGATTATTTGCCCCTGAATCGGATTCAGACCAGTTATTTTATAATCTCACACAGTTAATCACAGTTTAATATTGAAAGAGATTTTCCACATTACAGGCCCCTGTGGGGTTTTCCTGTCAAACATTTGTTGTGTTTCTGCATCAAAACAATAGGCTAAAATATGAAACTGAATTAGTAAACAAACCAAGCTGAGTTCATTTTCATCTTTCAAAACAACAATTTAATCGCATAGCATTGTCCCATCATTATCGAAATAAAACATCAGATTCACCCCATTCAATACTTAATGCTGACTTAGAATCAAAGAGGTTCAGCTCTTTTAAACAAGATTATCAAACATCTTTACAAACTTAACAGTTTAATAAACTGTCTAATAACAATAATATAACAGACAAATTACAAATATATATCAAAAACTTTAAAAATAACCAAAGTTGGAATTCAAAATATAATTATTGGAAATGTTTAAATTTGGTCAAATAAAAACAAATATATAATGTGGACTGATGAAATGGTTTGTATGTTGCATATTCTTTATAAATTTGATTATCAGATCCGAGTTCAATTCCAATTCAACAAGAAATCACCTTAACCAGTGAATGTTTATCAATATGAGCAAAACAAAAAAAAAATATTGATGAAGTTGAATGAAAAACAATCATATTCCTGTATCCGTGGTTACAAGCATTATCAGCAAATTAACCACAGCAACATCTACAGTGGTTTCCCTTATTAGTTATCCCCCCTGATTAGTTATTTTTTTTAATAAAATGTTTTTATAAAGAGTTAACTTCCCCTGGGGCTGGTTTCTGGATTGACCCAGAGAAAAAAAAAGAGAAATAGGGGTTTAATGTCCATTCAAAAAAATACTAGATCATTTCAGGTGTCTTTTGCAGTAGTGATGTGTGTGTGTGTGGGGGGGGGGGGGGAGAAGGACTGTAGGATCCAGAGAAAACCATCAAGCACTAGTATCCAGTAGGTGACCCTTAATATGCAAGCTTGGCACCGTAACCATGCCACTCGAGATTGGATTCAGTGACAGACCTTTTGAACTAAAGTGCATGCATTAGACCACATGACCACCAAACCGACATATGGTTAATGAGCTAACAGTGCTTGTTACCACTGCTTCAGGAATATGAGCCGATATGAATACCAAGAAATAGTACAAAAGTGTTGAAAAATATGAGTATGCCACTAATGAGAAATATTACTTAACTCTGCACGGGCAATAAAACCCTTACAATAAAACAAAATAGAAAAAAGAAAAGAAATATAAAAATAATATAAGTTAAAATAAAAAGTTTGTTAAACGACACTCAGATCTCGTTGTATAGTGGTCAATATATTTATAATCATATGATTTAATGTTGAATATATAGAGGTAGCAGCCTACATAATCTTTAAGTGGCATTTAGCCATAGAGAAACACAATTTTTATGGATAACAATCACAAACAATAATGATAAAAGGATAATACCAGTGACTGTTCCCCATAAACATTGTGTTCTGTTAAGGTGTCCTACAGCGTAAGACACAGAATCATTGCCTGGTACTAATTTAAAGTATTTTTATTTCAGTTAAAATGTCTCTTTAGTTTAACCCTTTAGCATCTGGATTGTATAAAACTGCCTGAAACATTTGGCCTGAGTTCACAAAGAATTCTCAGGCTTAAGAATTTACTTAACTTTCAATCACTGTTTATGAGAAATATCTTTGATCCAGAAACACAAAATTTTGTACATAGCTTGTTATTGATGTATTTGATATATTAAAACAACAAAGTTTTATAAAGGTGAACAATGAGTATTTCCTAACTTAAGTCTGAGAATGCTTTATGAACTATTGATGTATTGATGTATTTGATATATTAAAACAACAAAGTTTTATAAAGGTGAACAATGAGTATTTCCTAACTTAAAGTCTGAGAATGCTTTATGAACTAGGGGCCTGTTTCGTCTTGCACAGTGAGTCATATTAATAGCTGTGAACTGTTAAAGAACTGAATACTACTTCTTTGACTTGGGTGGTTTGGGGAGGTCAAGGGGGATGCAGGTTTAGATTTGTTAAAATATGAGCTTAAAAATGTAAAAAAGATCAACTATGTATAATTTCTTATGGAATAGAAATGAGGTTTAATTTAACATCTACTCGACACAAACTAGGTCATTTCGGTACTAATATATTGTACAATTTAATTTTAATAATTCGCTTGCGCATTAGGATCTTTAACAGTGAGAGGAAATTGGAGGACCCTAAAAAAAAACACCAAAAGGTTGGGCAAGCAACTCTACTCCTTGTCACATACATGCTATGGATCGAAACCCTGCAACTTGACTCAATGTCAGACATTACGATTTAAAGCAGAGAGAGAGAGAAATGGGGTTTAACGTCCACTCGACACAAACTAGGTCATTTCGGGACTAACACATGGTTCAATTTTATTTCAATAATTCGCATGCGCGTAGGGGTCTTTAGCAGTGGGAGGAAACCGGAGGACCCGGAGACAACCCACGAGGTTGGATGGGCGACCCTACTCCTTGTCACGTACAACCGTTGAATCGAAACCTCGCCAGTTGACTCAATGACAGACCGTATGATACAGCGCACGAGTGCTAACCATACGGCCATCCAACCCCCGATTTAAAGCAGACACTGCCAGTAAATATAAGTACCAGAGAGCTAAAGGGTTGAACGATAGAGAATCATTTTATTATCTGCATGCTTGGGACTGAACAAAAACAATAATTTGATCATCTGCGAAAAATAAATGAGTCAAGCAGTTTCTGGTGGTCGATCTTGGTTAAAATGTTGAACATCATCACTTCCTTTCTATATACAGTGAACTCCTTTACACATAGTCATCGTAATTATTTAACATGGGATCTTGTACCAGATGCAAAAGTCACCTGCAAAAGAAGATTAATTTCATAATTATGCTTTATAAAAATAAAAGAATTTGAAGAAAGCATGAAGAAGAATTTTCACGGATCAGCTTTATTCCTGTATATTTTAAATGCCAACAATTGTGGAAGCTGGAATCTCATATATATGCCATGGTGTGTTCTGTGGTTTTTGTTAATCCATAGGCCTAAGCAGTGGATCCCTGTGGTCTTTTATAAAAGAGAGGGTTTAACATTCATTCAACAAACAAACTGGGTCATTTTGGGACTAACACATGGTTCAATTTTATTTCAATAATTCATGTGTGCGTAGGGGTCTTTAGCAGTGGGAGGAAACTGGAGGACCTGTGACCCTACTCCTTGTCACATACAAGTTGGGGTTGGATGAATTACTTTTCTGCACATTATACCATCTAGCCACCGAACCCCCCTGTACCCTGGTAAAGGTGAAAAAACAAATAGGTGAATGGAAAATCTCGGCCAACACCGGAATCGAACCCATCACATTCTAGTTAGATAGTCAACATTACATTCACAGAAATAAAATGGGGTTTAACGTCCTACTGTTCTGTACCAGCTGGCTTACTGAAGAGAGGCTTACACCATACAGTGTGCTATGAGGGCAATTTTGCCTGGACAGCATCTCTACATCCTACTCTTATATCGATTTACAACTGTCAAGGGTTCTTTTACATGCACATCATGTGTATATGGAACGTCGGTTTTTCATCCCATCTGAACGACTAGAAAACTGTCCTGGTCAGGCCCATCACCACTGATAAGGGGAAACCTCGTCGGAAAATTGTGAGGAACTTTCTTGGCCACGTTGTAGATTGGTGTTGTGTGGTCATCATAGTAAAACAGAAAAAGAAAGTTTTACCTTTTCTAAAACAAGTTCTTCAGTAATATCTGATAATTCATTGGCAAATATATTGACATGAGCTGGTCCAAATAACTCATCCATTGTTCCACGATGTGTTGAAATTTTAGCCCTTGTCATTGGTTTTACTTTAGTTCCAACCCTGTAAAATATCAAATAATGTTTGAGGTAAAATAAGCACACTTATAATTACTTGATCCAACAGACTCATTTATCAAGTACTGCCCGAGAATCAATCATCCCATTTACTCTAATATCAAATACTGTCAAAGATCAAATCATCCCATTTATACCATTATCAAATACTGTCCAAGATCAAATCATCCCACCCATTTATTCTAATATCAAATACTGTCAAAGATCAAATCATCCCATTTATACCATTATCAAATACTGTCTGGAGATCAAAACATCCTACTTACTCGACACAAACTAGGTCATATGGTTCAATTTTATTTCAATAATTTGCTTGCACGTGAGGGTCTTTAGCAGTGGGAGGAAATCGTAGGACCAGGAGAAAAACCCACGAGGTTGGACAGACGACCCTACACTTTGCTTACTCTAATATTAAATACTGTATAGAATCTGGCTTCAAGTTCACAAAGCATTCTCAGACTTAAGTTAAGAATTTACTCAACTTTCAATCACTGTTTATGAGAAATATCGTTGATCCAGAAACACAAAACTTTGCACATAGTTTCTTATTGATGTATTTGATACATTAAAACAACAAAAGTTTTATAAAGGGCTATATTTCAGTTAAAATAAGGCGAACAATTTTGAGTAAATTCTTAACTTAAGTCTGAGAATGCTTTGTGAACTCGGGGCCAGGATGATGCTCTGACTGCCAGATTGATTTATGGCTAACAATAAGAGAACAATGGAAAGATATTATTATACAAGCTTTGTTTTTTGTATTATTTCAATGTTTTCCTAACAACAATTTTAAATGCCTTTACAAAATGAAATGAAATGGGGTTTAACATCCTACTATACTGTGATAATGAAGATGGCCTACTCTTATATGGAATTCCAACTGCCAAGGGATCTTTTACATGCATGCCAATGTATACACGGGACCTCAGTTTTTCGTTCCATCCGAACGACTAGACAGCTGTCCTTATCAGGTCCTCCGTCTTGCATCACTGACAAGGGAAACCACGTCAGAAAAACATAATGAACTTTCTCGGTCAATGCAGAATCGAACACCTGACCTCCAGGCTAATGAGCCATTGTCTTACCCACTTAACCACGGCGGATTCAAAATGCCTTTACAAGCAACAAATAAGATATCAAAGTCAAAATATACATGTACTTACCATATTATATAAACAAATTTAACAGTAGTAATATCATCAATTTTATCAGTAACTCTGTATAAACCATACATAACTTGATCGTCTACTAAATTCTCTCTCAGTTCATCTACAGTTCCCTCCCCTTTACCAGCTACTATAATTGGCATCTTGGGATTATTATCTTGATAACAGGCTAGAAGCCATGATGTAGGATCCTCGTTATCTTGAACTAAACTGATATATTCTCGTACACCTGTAATATAAATATGAAATAAAAACCATATTACAGGTAATTATAGCTGTGAAACTAACCAGGTCATTTTGGGACTAACATATGGTATTCTTTTATTTCAATAATATGTTTGCATACAGGTAGCTTTAGCAGTGGGAGGAAACTTTAGGGTTCACAAGGTTAGGCAAGTAAACAAGAAGAGTCAAAAACCTTTTAAGTCTGGTAAGATTTTGAAGTGAAGCCTTGGAGGTAATCCTACTCCTCTTTTAAACTTAAGTATGCAATCGAAATGACACTAAACTTGCGCACCAATGATCTAAAGCATTTGATTATTTGTCCACACAACACTCTAATAGTAAGTGCAGGGGGACTTCACTCAAAATTGAAAAACAATCAAGAATATAACATAGTCTTGATTATCCATTTTTGCATTTAATCATCAATGAGCATTGAGCAGCTGATCGGATTCAAATCTAGTGAAAATCGAACACATAAGATGGCATCGAGAGTTGATTAAGGTCTTTTCATGTTAATAAATGTCTAATTGATACTTTATATAACATTTCAGGCCTAAAGAAAGACCTGCAATAGGCAAATTTAGCTCTTGCATAATGTATGTTTAATCTTTCACTACCTGCTGCTACATGTACATATAAATACTGACTAGCCCTGTTCCCTATCATTGGCTCAATGGCACGTGCATTGTTTACATAAGACCTTACTGGTTCGGGCGAAATGGAGCCTTTTACTTTTTTTAATACCCATTTACACTAAATAGGAAATAATTTTTACCTACAAATACGTCAAACGTCTTTGTTTTTTTTTTTAAATAAATAAAAAAAAAATTTTTAAATTTAATTTGTCTGAGGAAAAAAGTTAATATTTGTGGCTCATTAAGTCGCATCGATGTCATCCTTATCAGTGATAGTTTCAGCCTAGCGAATATTCACTGTGGATCAGTGTGGTTGTTACCAAGTAGGGGTTTACTGTATACAGACATATCAATATGAAGATTAAAATTCAAACCTGGATCTATTTCAAGATTAGCTCCTGTCTTTGATATCTCATTGACACCAAACTTGGCTCCTTGATTACGTTTTGGTAGTTGTGTCTGGGTGAAGCCTCGTTCCTGTCGTCCTTCCGTTGTTTCGATAACCTTTGATTTAGTTCCTGATGTTTCTTCAAGCTGTTTATGTAACAATTATAATTTACAGTAAAATTTGTAAATGCCAAAAAAAATAACCAGTTTGAAGTTTTATAAGAAATAGATAAGATTTTTAATTGCTAGAGAGAGAGACTGGGTGTTTAACGTCCACTCGACACAAAATAGGTCTTTAGAAGTCTTAACATATGATACAAATTTTAATTCACTCGTACTTCGAGATATCCAGAGGACCCAGAGAAAATCCACAAGGTTAGACGCAGGCGACCTTATTCTTTGTCACATACAAACCTGAGATTGAAACTAAGTTACTTGACTTAATGACAGACCTCATGATCTAAAGCGCACACTTAGATCATTCACCCACCCAACCTCCAATTTTTAATTAAATATATCGTTTCATATTGAGCTGAGATTCTGAAATGAGTAACAAAACTGTGAAAATAAGATCTCCAGCAAATATTATATTATTGTAGGTTGCATTCAAAACCCCAAGACCATGAGATTGAAAGGAGAAAAAATTGAATTTAAAGTTCCACTCAACAAAATTTGGTGATAACAGGGGGAAAAATGGTTTCTATAATTTATTTACACAGTGTGCTCTGTTCTGTTCCACTGAGAGACGAAATGGAGAAACAAGAGATTGATAATGATGTTAATCATAATCAAACCCATGAACTCAATTACTGTAAAAGGAATAGTTATGTAAATTTGAGGTAAATGTTTGTTCAGCAATCAGAGAATGATGTTCACAAATATTCTCTGTGAATTTTTTCATCTTGCTCAATTAGAGCATGCCTGAAAATAAGACACCTATCACAGACAATGCCTGGCACAAAATTAGTTTCCTTCAGGTACAATTCCTCTGGTGTTATACAATAACAGATTTTTACACAGTTCCTGCCTCTGACTCACTACATTTTATGCAGAAGTATCATTCCGTTTATTTTCACTGACTCCAGCATGTTCCTGAAGCAACGACTGAGACCCTACATCTGGATGTTTCTAGATTACTTCACAATTCCTGAAATTATAGCTACGTTATCCACAGACACGTAAACAGTAGTGTCCAATCAGAGGTTGTGACATATAGTGACCTCCACGGAAACCTTGACATTAAACGAACCTTGAATTTTGCATCTAGGTAGACATTTTAGCTTGAAAGTGCGAGACTTGGTATTCGCGACGATCAAGGAATCTGATAGGCTCACACGCTGGGCTTTTACCCAATTGAAATTAGTGACGAAATATGCATGGTATTACGTGAGATCAAGCCTTCTATTGACGATGTGATTCCAGTTGCCTGCCAATGTGCATCTTCTGGCATCACTACTACTCTTGTCTGCCTTATCTAAAAGGCACCTGGTTTCCTCCCACTGCTAAAGACCCCTATGCACAAGCCAATTATTGAAATAAAATTGAACCATATGTAAGTCCCGAAATGACCTAGTTTCTGTCGAATGGATGTTAAACCCCATTTCACTCTCTCTCTATTTTCACTGACAATTATTATTATATATTTGTTTTGTTCTAATGTTTCTAAATGGTAACAAAATGGCGATGATGGCTGTTTATATATTGCTCTGCCCAATAGCCAACTAAAACAGGGGCCAGAACCTCCACCTCATTATATATAGTTGAAATCATAAGATAGTTACCTGATGAAGTATTTTTTCTGTATTAAAATCTTCGACAGAGCTTATTTCTAATAACATGTGATAAGGATTAAAATGTTTTTCAACACTTCCTTTTACAACACCAAATCTTCCTTTCTTCTGTATAGGTACTTTATCTCCAATCCTTATAAAATATAACAACAATTAGTTTAATATAATATAATAACCATATAATTAGTAAGTTCAATCCTTAGAAACTATAACAACCATCTTATAGTAAGTTCAATCCTTATAAAATATAACAACCATCTTATAGTAAGTTCAGTCCTTGTACCGTAACCAAATATAACAGCCATCTTATTAGTAAGTTCAGTCCTTATAAAATATAACAACCATCTTATTAGTAAGCTCAGTCCTTGTAAAATATAACAACCATCTTTTCAGTCAGTTCAATCCTTATAAAATATAACAACCATCTTATTAGTAAGAGAGAGAGAGAGAGAAATGGGGTTTAACGAACACTTTACACAAACAAGGTCATTTCGAGACTAACATATGGTTTATTTTTATTTAATAATTCGCTTACGCATAGGGGTCTTTAGCAGTGGGAGGAAACCGGAGGACCCAGAAAAAAACCCACGAGGCCGGACAGGCGACCCTACTCCTTGTCACGTACAACCGGGGATTCGAAACCACGCCAGTTGACTCAATGACAGGATGAATGGTTAGCGTGCGCGCGCTGTATCATAAAGCCTGTCAAACCATGCCAGTTGACTCAATGATAGGCTTTATGATACAGCGCACGCACGCTAACCATTCAGCCACCCCCCCCCACCTTATTAGTAATATATATCAACCACCTCGTAAGTAAGTTTAATCATTCTAACATATAATAACAATTTTATTAATCATTCTAAAATATAACAACTATCTCAATAGTACATGTAAGTTCAGTTCAATCATTATAAAATATAATAACCATATAATTAGCAATTCAATTCTGACACAATCTTTATAATCACCTAGTATAAAACATAACAATAATCTTCTAGCTAATAAGTTCAATTCGGATAACAAAATTATCATCTAATTCAATCCTTTTAAAATATAATCACCATTTAGTTCAATCTTTTAAAAATATATCAACCATCATTTAGTTCAATCCTTATTAAAATATATCAACCATCATTTAGTTCAATCCTTATAAAATATAACAACCATTTACATGTACCATTGGTTGATTCCTTATAAAATATTACAACAAACATTTAGTTCAATCCTTATAAAATAAGTTCAATTATTATAAAAGATAACAAACATTTAGTTCAATGCTTATAAAACATATCAACCATCATTTAGTTCAATCCTTATAAAATAAATATAAATACTCATTTAGTTCAATCCTTGCAAAATATAACAACTCATTTAGTTCAATCCTTGCAAAATATAACAACTCATTTAGTTCAATCCTTATATAATATAACAACAATCAGTAAGATTTACAAATAGAAAGTAAATGACGCATAAACAAACAAAAATATATATCTACTTACCATCGAAAATAAACAAATTTAATAGTCAGTGACATATCAAATTTAGTTTCGTATCTGGCAAGAACATACATCATCTGGCAATCATCCATGTAGGAAGCTATCTCGTTATTATCCTGTCCCACTGTCACCACATTTATCCGATTTTGATCTCCGTCCACATGACCAACGATCACGTATGTATCGGAAGTATTGTCTGATCTCACAGAATGAAGTGCTTCCTTAAATGCGGAGCCGTCTACTACTTCGACCTCTACACTCATCTTTTAGCCTGAAAAAAAGAAAGGAAATAAATTTAAGTCCATTTAATACTTTTCTTCCATTGCTTTCGAGACCCAAATCATGGTTACATCGTATGCCGTGTCAAGAGCTAAAACTTGTACAAGTTTTTAACTTTCAGCCAGTCAAATTTCCAAATCCTTAAAATATTTTAGTTTGAACTTTTGTGAATACTGCCCCAGAAGCGACAACATCTTGAGGTAACTGTAGAAGATACAAACATCATTTACACTTCTGCTGTCAAAAAACTCCAAATGTCAAGCTGCATTTGCACAGACTTTGTTAAACATGTGTTCCTTTCAAAAATGTCTATCCCTTTTAAATTCGGTTGTGTATGAACCCCACATTCGAAACAGAAGGAGGAGAATGCACTAAAATATTGAATGCATTCACAGTCGGATTCAAGACAAAATTCAAGTCACAGAATAAAACTTAGTAAGTTGTGTTTCAATAATCTGTTCACAAACAATAGATACGATACAGTGTCTGTCTAGAGAAAAGCTTCAAGGGTAAAAAACACACTTGATAGGATCGTGTGAAGATTTTAACTGAGGTGTCTGGGTAAATATTAAACCAAACATATCCTACATAACTTCTGTACTGAAAGTTTGAACAATTGCAACAATCAAAGATTTTAAATCAAGATTTAGTAAAATTTTATATTTTTTACATCATATTAACAATCAACAAATTATAGAAATAAGATTTAGTAAAATTTCATATTTTTATATTATATTAAACATACATTATGCAAGAACTAAATCTGCCTATTGCAGATCTTTCTTTGGGCCTGAAATGTTATATAAACTATCAATTAGATATTTATTAACATGAGAAGACCTTTATCAACTCTTGCTGCCACCTTATGTGTTCGATTTTCACTGGATTTGAATCCGATCTGCTGCTTAAAGGGGAAGACCAACGATTTTCAATAAGGTTTCCATAAATAATAAATATATATTTAGAAATAATCCCTCCTATAACATATGCAAAAAATAAATTGTAAGTGAGAAATTAATTTTTATTGATACTGGAAGTGACGTAGTTGGTTCGACACGCTCACTGGTCACTATAGTAAACATACAAATTTGGAGTAAGTTTAGAGCTGTATTTTGTGATCGTTTCGCCGTTTGGCAGAAAATCTGATGAAAGGTAATCTTTATTAGGATATTAAGAACAAGAACTTACGGTATTTTGAAAGTATAATATACAACGCGTTTGTGTAAATTAAGTTTCTAAACCGGACACTGTGACACAATTTAAGCCACATGGCTAATTGTTTACATCACGTGATAGCTGGCACGTGACAGATATTAACCGAACACAAATTGGCGACCTATTCGGCTAGCGACCTTTTCGACCGATCCAGCTGGCAACCTGTTTGTTGGCAACCTATTCAGAATAAATTCAACAGTCGCCCAAACTCATCTATTTTTATCAACCAATAAAATCCAACGTAACGTCTATCAAATGAAAGTAGAATATATTATCATTTATCCATTCCTTTAGCTCAGAATAGAGATGTAATTTCGCATTATCTTACAAAATTCTGGACATCCAACTAAATATATTCCGAAAGCTGATTAAATAAGCTTTCGAAATATTATTAGTAAAAGTTGGCACAATCATATTAAAGGGGTGCGCTCTCATTCTGAATAGGTTGCCAACGAACAGGTTGCCAGCTGGATCGGTCGAATAGGTCGCTAGCCGAATAGGTCGCCAATTTGTGTTCAGTTAATATCTGTCACGTGCCAGCTATCACGTGATGTAAACAATTAGCCATGTGGCTTAAATTGTGTCACAGTGTCCAGTTTAGAAACTTAATTTACACAAACGCGTTGTATATTATACCTTCAAAACACCGTAAGTTCTTGTTCTTAATATCCTAATAAAGATTACCTTTCATCAGATTTTCTGCCAAACGGCGAAACGATCACAAAATACAGCGCTAAACTTGCTCCAAACTTGTATGTTTACTATAGTGACCAGTGAGCGTGTCGAACCAACTACGTCACTTCCGGTATTAATAAAAATTAATTTCTCGCTTGCAAATTATTTTTTGCATATGTTATAGGAGGGATTATTTCTAAATATATATTTATTATTTATGGAAACCTTATTGAAAATCGTTGGTCTTCATCTTTAATGCTCATTGATGATTAAATGCAAAAATCGAAAATCGAGACTATGCTTTTTATCGTACGACTTTAGTAATGATGATAGAGGCTAGGCCTAAAATTCAATAGCTAATATCTCAGTTCAAAGTGGAGCAATTTGACTGAAATGTTCAGTATATTCTCTTTACATTATCTAGTTATTAACTATTATAGTGAGAACTGCCTGCTCTTTATTTAATCTTCCATAATGCCCCTTTAAAGGGGCATTATGGAATATTAAATAACGAGCTATTTCAAAAATAGATAATGCTAAATGAATAAAATGAAAATTTCATTCAAATTACATTATTTTGAGCGAATTTTTCAATGGTTGTAGTGCTGACAAGATGTGTGCATTGATCGTAACCACTTTACTGGTCATTCGAGTCTTAGCCTCGCTTCTCCATTTTTAAATTAAATCATTAAATGACCGAACCATTCTAGTCTGCTTAAAATCGGACCCATCCAATGGCATCAAGAGTTGATTATGGTCTTGTTGTCATGTCAATAAATGTCTAATTAATAGAACATTTAAAACGTGAAGAAAGACGTGCAATAGGCAGACTTAGCTATTACATAATGCATAATGTATGTTTAACAAGACAAAACCAGAATATCAATGGTATATAATCACTGTTTAACCCAGGTATTATTTAATCTTGTGTATCTAGCACTAATTTAACAATTAAAAAAAATATTTTAAATAGGATTCAGTAATATTTGATAATATTTTGTATCAAATTATAATTGTAATTTTTAAAACAAGATTTAAGGCAATTTGATAATATCTTTTACGTCACATTAACAATCAACAAATTTTTGAAATATGATTTAGTCAAATTTTATAATATTTCAATTTTCTATCATATTATTGTAATTTTCTTAAAAAAAAATCAGTGTAATTTCATAATATTTTACATTATATTATCATTGTAAATTTTAGGCATTTTACATGTATGTCACACCAAATAACACCAGATTTATTGGTATTGATTGCAGTAGTGATCAAAATGCAAAGTGTTAAATAATATATGAAATACAATGCAGTATTATCATTTTGTCTGCTACAGCATTCCATACTTGTAACTAAATGTAGGGTGGTTTTGAGTTTGACAAAACTGTGGAATGTATTTCTCCCCTTTGTGTTTTTTCGAAGAGATCAAAAAGTTTAAAATTTCCCTTAGGTATTTCCTCTTAAACAAATATCAAACCTGATATCAAGCAAGTCAATCATAACTTTATGACCTGTACAGCTGTAGACTATAGCCTCTATAATCCAAGATAAATACTGTTTTATGCTGGAAATATCATAACCTACGATCACACCAATATAATGAAAATAGACACATTCTGTGTAGTGTGCTATATGAGTGAAAAGACGGGCATATGCCATACAGTGTGCTATGAGGGAAATTTTGCCCAGGCAGTGGTGCTACAGCCTACTCTTATATCGAATTCCAACTGGGAAAGGATCTTTTACGTGCACGTCAATGTGTACACAGGACCTCTGTGTTTTTCATCCTTTCTGAACTACATGTACTAGACAGCTGTCCTTGTCAAGCCCTCCATCCTGCACCACTAACAAGGGAAAACCACGCCGGAAAATCATGAAGAACTTTCTCAGCCAAGACCGTGATCGAACTTGCGACCTCCAGGCTTGCAAACCAGCGTCTTACTCACTTAGCCACTGGGGCTCCTGGCCTATAATGAGTAATAAAAAGTAAAAAAATACCTGTGTAGCACCACAACATTATAACGACAAAATGTCTAAATTTCCAAATTATGAAAAATGTTGTTATTGCATGCACTTTGTATAGATATAAGCACTGAAATGAAATGAAATGGGGTTTAACGTCCCACTGTTCTGCTCCTAAACTGGGCTAATGAAGACGGGCATACGCCATACAGTGTGCTATGAGGGAAATTTTGCCCGGGCAGCGGCGCTATGGCCTACTCTTATATCGAATTCCAACTGCCCAGGGATCTTTTACGAATGACTAGACAGCTGTCCTTGTCAAGCCCTCCATCCTGCATCACTGACAAGGGGAAACTACGGCGGAAAATCTGGATGAACTTTCTCGGCCGATGCAGGGAACGAACACCCGACCTCCAGGCTAGCGTGCCAGCATCTTACCCAATTAGCCACGTGATCCCGAGATATAAGCAAATACTGGGATTTAAATAATAAAAGATACAATAAAAATAATAATAAACCTATATTTATACCACATACTGGGATGTAGAATTTATCCTATTTCCTATGTAGACAGTCATAAATATAATAATGCATATATATAGATATACACTGAAAAAATTTTAATAAACTGTACAGTAAACCAGGAAATAAGTAATATAATACGACATACTGGGAAGTAGAATTTACCTTTATTCCTAAACATAAGTAAAAATACAACTTGAATAATATAAGCACATTCAGCGATTAAAATAATAAAAACAACATGCATATTATATTCTTTAAGTGGCACTTAGTAACTGGGTAGATAAATAAACTATAACACATACTTATGGATAAACAGCTACTGATTTATTTAGGCGACGTTTAGAAGAGTAATCTCTCAGTTATCAAGCTAATACAATACAACAAAATGTGAAGCAATATTATTATATATATATAGACAAAACTATTAGCACATACTGAAATTCAAATACCAAAAACACAAGCTTACAGTATGTCCGATAACACAAAATATGGTAGAGCAAGAAATAAGTAATATACCACAAACTGGGAAGCAGAATTTTCGTAACCAGACGTCAAAATAATTAAAATGCACAGTATATGTATATTCAAAAGCACATACCAAAAACCAAACAATAGAAGACCAACTTACAGCCTGTACTATAATACAAGTAAAATGACAATAAGGTAGTAGGCCATCAACTACAAACTGGGAAGTCAAATTTATCTATTATTCCTATTACCGGTATTCAACACAGTGATTCAAATAATCAAAAACACACAATCGACAATCAGAAAATAAGTAATATAGACTACTACAAACTGGGAGCAAGAATTTACCTTTATTCGTAACGTCAAAATAATTATACAGGTATATAATAATATATATCTGAACAAGAAACCCTACCTGTTTAACAAGGTGTTTGAGTTAATGATGAGTCACACACAATGAGGATAGTACAGGTATATTATAAGATAAACAACAGGTAGAAGACAGTTACACAAATCTATCTTGTCTTTTAACCTATTGTTTATCAATGCAACAGAAGACATGTCCTTATATGGTAAAACACCCAAACAACATGCAAAAACTTTATGAGAAATTTCTCATCACAGTAATCTACCTGAATAAT